GCCAGAACCCCTCACCCTGGGCAGCTGGTCAGCCTGGATATCTGCCTGGGCTCCTCAGCCTCCACCATCCCCCACGTGGTGGCTGGGTGGCCCGCCTTCAGTGAGAATCCTGTTAGGTCAATTTGGCCAGAATCCCCCTCACCTTGATGTTTCCTCTTAGGATTTTCCACCCACTGACCCCCGCCCTGCTCCTTGGCTACTGTAGTTAGAGTTGAGCTCAAGCTCTCCTCCCACTGCGAGACCCCGTTGCAGTGGTCCCCACGCCTATCACGATGATCCTGAATAAAGGCTTCTCTACTGTGATTTAACAAGTGTCATTGAGTAACTTTCCTTTAACAGATGGATCCACAGGGGTGTGCAGGGGAGATGCCAGGCTCCGTCTGAGCCCAGTGCCCACCGCAGATGTGCCCCTGGAAGCCTGTGGAGAGGGCTCAGGAGGCATTTGCCAAAACGATGGAGAGCCCAGATGTGCATCTCACGTGTCAGCCACGCCTTGTCTGCATGCCAGCACGCTGAGGGCCAGTGGCCCCCGAGCCTCTGCTAGAGAGGGCTGAGAAGCCTCTTTGTCACAGCACTAGTTCCCCTGGCTCCACTATTTTGACAATCATCAAAAGAGGGTCTGGGGCTCCTTGAGTCCTGTCCCACACATGGACAAACACCAGACTGTCCTGGGGAGAGAGGGGTCCCCCAGAGCTGGTACCCCACATGGTTTGGGGGACCAGGAGGCAGTCAGGCATAGCAAGTCTGCCCATGGCTCAGGGAGTCCTTATTTACAGCCAATCTCCCCTTCCTTTTTTACTAGTTCTATTATGTGGTTTCTCATTCACAATTGCCAGTATAGCCATTTTGTTCAGTTACCAACAGGCCCTTCTTTAAGGCCAGTGAGGAAATGTAGGCAGTGGGGTACGGGGGTGCTTATGGACCCCAGGCAGGCTGAGAGCAGATCCAGTGTTTCTGCACTTTGCCTCCCAGGAACTGTGCCCTCCCTCTTCTCCCCGGACGGTAGAACTCAGTGAGTGGCAAGTCCCCTGGACACAAACCTTGCTTCCTTACATCTTTGCCAAATTCCTGTCCACAGAAGCCAATTGATAACATTTTCCTAGCACCGCATAGGTACCAGGCTGGGTCCTGAAGTTTGCTTTGCAGTCCTTTCAAAAACCCTAGGAGGGGGACATCATCGTTTTTCTCATTGTTCAGGTGAGCAAACTGTGGCAGGGACAGGTTAAGGGATGTGTCCAGGGTCACACATCTCAGTAAATGTTGGTGCTGAGTCCAACCTGGTGGCCTGACGTCAAAGCCCATGCTGGACAAGGCTGACTCTGAGTGCAGACCCTAAACCCAGCCCTCTGCGAGAGCCCTGAAGAACTTGGGGGGTTGGATTTCCTCCAGTTGTGGTGATAATACTCTGCTTTGAATATTAACCTCTTGTAGACCATCCAGTTGCAGATGGTTTAGCACAAGGAAAGATACTTGGCCTTTATCTGACTTGACCTGCTTTTTAGTCAAATGCAAAATAAGTTGAGAGCCGGCTCTCTTTAATCCTCGATCACATTAGCCTGATGACACTGCTACATTAATCTAAGTGGCTAATGGGCGAAGTGGGTCAATCCAGCTTTAGCTTAAGCCGGGGATGACTCCGGTGCTGCTGGTGCAGCCTTCCTTACGGGAAAAACCTCTTCCTCCGGCCCCCTGTTGGCAGTGTCCTGGAAGAAGGAGCTCACTCTCTCCAGGGAACTGCCAGTTCTGGCTCAGCGATACATAGTTTATATCATTTCTATAAATGTGCTACAAATGTACTCAATAGAGGAGTTGTGGTCTCAGTAGATTAGGATGTCTTGAAGCTTAGAATGTCCCACTGAGAGGTAAATACTTTGTCAAAAATGATGTGGAAATTGTCTTTTTTTTCATTCCTGTGCCTAGGTGGGAATCAATTAGAAATCTCTACCCCACAGTTAATGGATGATTATAGATATGTGATCAAAATTTAGTATCCAATTAGTTAACACATCTCCTTTTGATGTATACACACTGGCTCATACACACATATATTTAATTTTGGTCTCACCATGTGTGTATTGAGCAATTTAATAATAATAACAGTAGTAGCTGATATCTGTCAAGTATGTACTATACGTCACCATGTTCTAAGCATATTATGATTATTAATTGCTTTAATCCGCATTAAACTCCTATGAGGTAGATATCGTCAGCTCCATTTTTACACATGAGGAAAAGAAGCCCAGAAAAGTTAAATAAGTTATTCAAGGTGACACAGCTTCTAAGTGGGAGAGCCAGAATTTGAACCCAGGCAGTCCTTAAGTATTAAGCTAAACCAAGTCAGCTTTACAAACCGCATTTAATTTTTTTCTTTTTTAAAAAATTTATTCTTAATTGACTAATAATTACGTGTATTTATGGGGTACGGCGTGATGTTTTTGTTTTTGTTTTTGTTTTTTGAGACAGAGTCTCACTCTGTTGCCCTGGCTAGAGTGAATGCCATGGCGTCAGCCTAGCTCACAGCAACCTTAAACTCCTGGGCTAAAGCGATCCTACTGCCTCAGCTTCCCGAGTAGCTGGGACTACAGGCATGTGCCACCATGCCCGGCTAATTTTTTCTATATATTATTTTTAGTTGTCCGGATAATTTCCTTCTATTTTTTTTAGTAGAGACAGGGTCTCGCTCTTGCTCAGGCTGGTCTAGAACTCCTGAGCTCAAACAATCCGCCCGCCTCAACCTCCCAAAGTGCTAGGATTACAGGCGTGAGCCACTGCGCCCGGCCCAGCGTCATGTTTTGATCTACATATATATTACAAAAAATTCAATCAAGCAAGTTAACATATCTATCACCTCGCCAACTTATCCTTTATTGTGCGGTAAGAATGTTAAAAATCTATTCTTGTAACAATTTTGAAACAGACAATGCATTGTTATTAACTGTGGTCACCATGCAGGGAAATAGATCACTAAAACTTCTCTAGTCTCCTTGAAACTTTGTACCCTTCAGTCAACATCTTTTGTCACCCACTGTCCCCCTCCCCCAGCTCCAGTGTCTGATAACTTTCTTTTTACTCTGTTTCTATGAGATCTTCGTTTTTAGATTCCACGTATACGCGTGATCATGGACAGTATTTGTCTTTCTGTGCCTGGCTTATTTCACTTAACATAATGTTCTCCAGTTCCATCCATGTTGCAAATGACTGATTTTCTTCTCTTGACACCAGAGCCCATACTCTTTTTCTTTCTTTCTTCCTTTTTTTTTTTTTTTTGAGACAGGGTCTTGCACTGTCATGTAGGCTAGAGTGCAGTGGCATTATCATAGCTCACAGCAACCCCAGACTCCTGAGCTCAAGTGATCCTCCTGCCTCAGCCTCCTGAGTAGCTGGGACTACAAGTGCGAGCCACTATGGCCGGCTAACTTTTCTATTTTTTTTGTAGAGAGGGGGTCTCAAGTTTGCTCAAGCTGGTCTTAAACTCCTGACCTCAAGTGATCCTCCTTCCCCGGCCTCCCAGAGTACTAGGATTACAGGCATGAGCCACTGCACCCAGCCAGAGCCCTTACTTCTAACCCTTAGTATTTTCATTCAGGACTTACCAATCAGCCAGACCAATCATCTATTCATGTATTTATTGGATGCCTGCTATTCTAGGTACCATGGTAGGTGCTAGGTATTGAACAGAGGGTGAAACCAATACAGTCGCTGCTGTCATCTGAAAATCTCTAGCCCCAGGAGGACTTCTCACCCAACACTTTTCTTTCTCTCCACCTTCCATTTCCCATCTGCAGAACATTAAACCCACAGACATTTTCTTTTGCTTGAGCACCTGTTTTTATATCCTGCTTCTTCCCAACACGGGCAGTCCTCTCCTACCCAAGGGCTTCGTCATTCCCTGTCTCCAAGCCTCCCACATCACCCCTTGCTTGCCTTGGCTGATGCTGTTTCTGTTTCCTAGAGCACTTTGCTACAGGGTCACTCAAAAATGCTCTACAGAGTGGACTAGGAGCATCAACAGACACCTAACGTCCAGGTTCAGGACTCTCCACCAAATGTTTTATAGCAACAGTTGTACAGCCATATGACAGAATCTATGTAGTAACAAATAAAATTTGCAACTTGTTTTATAATATCAGCTATATCCACGTGCCTTTCGACTTCATTTCTTATAACCAAGATCTTACATCGCTGATTTGTGTAATCAATGCGATTGTGATTTTCCCCCACAAAACTGTTTTTTAGTCCCAGTATCATGGCCTTTATCTGCTGAAGGCTGTAAAAGTAATATTGTATGTATACTTTTGTTTAAGTTAATGCCGTGACAGATATCATACAATTATTTTTTCCTAATGGAATCTAAAGTATTTTTGGAAGCTTCTAGAGTTGTGTCTTGGGAATGTCCTCATGGCCAGTGTGTATTAGTTTATACTAACCTGATTTCACCGGATTTTTTGGCTGCTGTGTGCTTTGTGGCTTTTTTGAGTGAAGGCCGCATGATAAAGCTGGAACAACCTGGCTGGACCAGGGAGATGTTTTTCTTCCAGTGACCATGGCACATTTGCCCAGGCTTGGTATGCAAAGGCAGGCCAGTGCCAGGTCTCATGGACATTGGAATCTCTGGGGGCCCCAGGGGCTGGTTTTTAGGGAAGCCACAGGAGGCCAAACGCTTTTGTGAGTTGACATCAGATGTTTGGTGCGGTCTGAAAGCTGGATGCTATGAAATGGAAGAGAAGTGGCACCCACAGGAGGACCTTAGAGAAACGCGTATCTTGCTCTTTCTGCCTTGCGCGCAGGTGCCTTCATGTCTCAGGTGGAGAGTGTCTGCCCTCCAGACTTCAGCTGGGATGTTAACGCACCGCTCAGCTCTGAGTTCCGCTTGCAGCTTTGCACGCGTCTGCAGCTGCTCGCAGGAGTAAGAGAGAGCCGGGATTAGAAGCGTCGACCTTGGGACGTGTGGCCAAGGAGGCACGACCTTCTAACCCCTTTGCTTTGTTCGCTCTCCCCAGGGACCTGATGCCCAGAACCCTGGAGGGGCAGATCACCATGGAGAAGACGCCCAGCTACTTCGTGACGCGGGAGGCGCCCGCGCGCATCTCAGCCATGTCCAAGGACACCAAGCTCATCGTGGTGGTGCGGGACCCGGTGACCAGAGCCATCTCGGACTACACACAGACGCTGTCCAAGCGGCCCGACATCCCCACCTTCGAGAGCCTGACGTTCAAGAACAGGACGGCCGGCCTCATCGACACGTCGTGGAGCGCCATCCAGATCGGCATCTACGCCAAGCACCTGGAGCACTGGCTGCGCCACTTCCCCCTCGGCCAGATGCTCTTCGTGAGCGGCGAGCGGCTCATCAGCGACCCGGCCGGCGAGCTGGGCCGCGTGCAGGACTTCCTGGGCCTCAAGAGGATCATCACGGACAAGCACTTCTACTTCAACAAGACCAAGGGCTTCCCCTGCCTGAAGAAGGCCGAGGGCAGCAGCCGGCCGCACTGCCTGGGCAAGACCAAGGGCCGGCCGCACCCGGACATAGACGGCGAGGTGGTGCGCAGGCTGCGCGACTTCTACCGGCCCTTCAACCTCAAGTTCTACCAGATGACCGGGCACGACTTCGGCTGGGACTGAGCGGACCCGGGCCGTGTAACTTACCACGTGGCTTATATATTGAGAGAGAGTATATGTATGTAAAATGTACAGAAATCTATTTTATAATAATTTATTTTTAATTCATAAGCAATTAATTCACTAAGCTGCCTGGCCACACTCTTTAGAGAGTTAGCGTCATAATCTGTTAACATTCCAAAGTGTTGAACTCTAGTATTTTGTTCTATTCTTCACAATTGATGGTGCTTCTGTTTTTTGGGTTTTTTTTTTTCCTCCCCTCCCTATTATATTTAAAAAGAAGAAAAGCACAACTTGAGATTTTGGTTGTTACGGGTATTCAGCCTTGAGTCTCCGTCTGAGTTCTCCAGTTGCTGCCTCCTTGTGTCTTGGGTCTCATATTCCGGCATCGTGTCTTCCCGCCCGCGGACCTCGTAGGAGCGCTGAGCTGCCACAGCAATGCTGTGTGCCAAAGGTCAGACCTCACGTAGCAGCTGCCCTGCAGATGTGGCATCATTTCTAGTGACTCCAACCACAGAGCTAGGGTTTCCCCACCCCCACTCTGCACGTAGGGGAATCGCTTGCTTCCTTTTTTGGAACACCCACATCCTTTTAGGGTCAGAACGCCAGGGTCCATTTGCTTTAGCTTTCGATTTTGAAGGATGGCCCAGCATCCTCTTCTGCCCCATCCCCTGCTTCATTAACCAGCTGGAAGGGTATGCAGATGTTAGCCCCTTTCTTTCCCAGGTCACGTGTGTGAGTTGCTTGGGTGCTGCTTTAGAAATACAGAGGATCTCTTCTAATTTGCATGAGAGCACACCATGCTCCATTCTCCAGGCAGACAATTCTGCTTCGACACACCAAAGAACCCCATAGGCTAGCAGAGCCACCGGCACAAACCAAGGATGCTGGATGTCAAGACCCAGAGGCGTCAGATGTGTCCCTTACCATCAGCACCTACCAAGGTGCTGCTAGGTGCAGAGTCAGCCGGTGTTAGGCAATAGGCCCACAGCCTCCGTAGGCTGAAAAGACGAAGACCCAAGAATGACAGGCAGCCTGGCATGGGGAGGGAATCCCTGGCACCCTGGCTTGATGTCTCCTTGGAATTCCTAGCTTATCTCCGAATGACATCTCAGAGTGACAACATGGTCTGTAGTCAATAGCCAAACGGCAAGAACCAAGAGTGGCCCTTATAAAGACAGGCTGGGGAAGCTGGCCCCATGTTACCTGTAAATACTTGAACCTGACATTTGTACAGCTGTCCCTTGTTTTAGCCAGGTCTTGACAGAAGGGTTACCAGCATTGTCACTGCTGTGCAGAATGGTCTCCACGTATCTCTCAGGTAAGAGAGGTAGGTATTGCAGCTCGTTTATGATGACTAGACAGTTGGGTAACCATATTCCAATTTAGGGGCAGTTGGTTGAACATATAGCAATATCACGTAATGACATATCCTGCTTATCCTCAACTTTCTAAACCAGAATGCTTCTACCAGAAAGAATTATTTGAGTTATACTTTCATCAAGGAATATGTGGGAAGATATACATATTGACAAAATGGTTTAGATGTGATATTTACAAAGGACGCTTTTGAATTATTATGTGGGATAACTTGCCTGATAGTGTAAGAAAACTTGTATGAAAAGGGAAAGATAATTCATCTTTAGAAACTGATCAAAGATGCCCGCTGGTCTTCAAGTGGTACCCTGATAAATCTGGTTTGTATTTGCTCACAAGTTTTAGCCCAGATCTGGCTAGTTTACGCCTAGCAGCAAAACTATCATTGTGTGTGTTCTGTTCTGGAGGAAGCTCTTCTGGGGTTGTGTGCATTCCTCAGATGCTAAATCCATTTCATAGCTTTTTCACTGTCTCTAGAAAGTGATGCCGGACCTGTACTTAGGAGACACCTTAATCATAGCATGGTTCTGCCCTCTTGCTCCTTGGGTGTGAAAAATACCTGCGTAAGGGTGCTAATTGGCTGTGCATTTTTCCATTTATTTGAAATCAAACTGAGAACAACTCTTTTTGGTTACAGCATAGCATGGCTTGAAGTAGAAGGCAATATCCAAGTCCTGCACCTAGTCTTGCCCTGTCTACTTTCTGGCCACTCTTGTGACCTGATGTGGCTCAGGATGTAGGATTGCAGAAGGGTTCGGAGAAGGGTGTGCGACAAAGCCGTAGGAAAGCGTGCGTGAGCCTTTCCTCCCCCGGCAGGTCCCTGCCCTCTTTCCAAGCTGGACAATTTTTGATTGTTTATTCCCTGCCTTAAAATAAAACTGAAACAGGAAATTTTTAGATAGAAGTAGGGTCATTTAGTCATGAACACTGAAGTGGGTCAAAATTCTATTCTGGGTCAAATTCTTGAATCCCAAACAGATGTCCATAATTAGTACCGATGGAGCAGAGCAAGTTTTTCTATGTAAGACAAATAAATCAAACATCATGTGCATCTCTTCCTAGGGGTCTGATAGCTTGTAGCTCCTGACTGACCCGGATTACACCCCATCATGTGACAGTTATTACAGAACCTGTGTGTCTTCCTCCTGGAGAAGTTAGGCAATGTGGAAAATTATGCCTTGGGTTTCTTCCTGTTCTAGCAATCTGCAAGGCCACCAAGCTTAACTTTTTAGCTGCTAGAAGACAAACACCATTTTATGTTTTGGCAATTTGTCTTAGCACATGTTTCGAAGTTCTTCTAGTTTGCAGGAAGCTCTGGTATTCATCGCAGTACTTTATTTCTCTCAAGTTTTGTTTCTTTTCTCATTTGAAACAAAAAGGTTAACAAAAAAATTGGAGATTTTTATTGTTTGCATCTATCCCATGCTTTCTTTGCAGTGTTTGTACAGTAGTCTATTAACTTAGTAGGTGGTACCTGGAAAGGTATTTTAGGTACAGTGCTTTCATAATAAATACTTCATTGGATGATGGAAGAGGAGAAATTGGCATTCTCTTTGGGAGTCATTTTGAGTGACAGAAACATTATAGACCTTTGGAGAAACACAGTTTCAGATCCTGCCAGGATATTTTTGTAAGAAAGGAAAATGGAAGGTTCCAATAAACTAGAAACAGTATGTATCTAAGATGCTGACACAGAAGTTAATGTCATTTTTCTATTTGGTTTATGAAGAAGGATGGTCAATAAAACTTAAAGGTGTGGTTAGATTTTGTTTTCATTTTTGCAACATTAATTTATGACTGAGTCTCATTCAGCCCAATAATCTAAAATACTGTGCAAATTCTAGCAGTATGTCTTCTATAACCTGGATGTTAGAATAGCCAATATGTACAAAAAAATTAAGTATTTTGTCCTATGTATAACACAAATTAATTTTACACAGAGAAAGATGTTTCTAGGAAAATGAAATTCTGGTAATTCATACTATTTCTTTGTATGAACAAATAAAATATATTTTTACCAACTTGTGGGTACTTTTGTGTCTTCTTAAATATCACAGATAGACAAGGTAGCAATATTTTATTCAATAGCTAACCCCTGTGGACACACACACAAAGTCATTCTGATGGCAGGTTGATCTTTCAGATTTTAAAGGGCCCAATCTAAAATCCAACTAATCCACAAGTATTGGGGGTGAGTTTTTGTAAATGACTCTGCAGGCAAAATCCTGAGAGGGGCCCCTGTGCCCTGCAGGGGCTCCCCACCCCCAGGAAGCGCTATCCCTTACAGGGGATTCCAAGAGCTCTGCAGCCACTTCCTGATGCAGCCTGTCGGTGCCACACCTTCAGGCCAGGACGGGAGCCTGTGGGCAGCCACATGTCACACAACAGGTGCGACGTGAGCAGAGCACCTATGGCTGGGTGGATTTGGATAATAGCAGCCTTCCCTTCTCACGTTTGCAGAGTGTTGTGTGGAGATCCTTATCTGCAAGACAGAGGCAGAAAGGACTTAGACAAGAGTATTTCTATATCTTTAGTCTGTCTCAAACTGCCTTCTGTTTTCTTTTGGCCTAGCACACCATCTGTAAGGTTAGTATTTCCTACTTTAAACATTTGATTCACTCTCTTATTTTACTTAACTTTAAAAGGAAACATATTACAATCTTAAGTGAAAGCCATGATCTCTTGCCATGAAGAGGTCGTGATAAGAACAAACAAAAATCAAGAACAAACAAAGAATGCGCACACAATGAGTGCAAAGCAGCACTATTAATTTCTAGCTAGATGGCACAACCACGTTGGTCACTCACTACTCCTGGAAAAGGTTCTGCTTTCCAAGACGCTTACAGGAGATTTGCACTGTGCCTTGTAAAGAATGACAGAGACCTGAAGAAGGTATGACCTGCTCAGTGCTATTTAGTATTGAGTCTGTACATGCCTACAATTTGCCCTCTACCTACTTCCCAGTCCTCTGGTGGCCCTCTTGGTTTTCTCACACTTGGGAAACACTGTGAATCACACTAAGAAAATGCCTTGGGTAGAGACACAGACGCGGAGTCTAAAATTAGCCTAGCATTTTAGGAAGACAGTGAAAAGAAAACCCTGACTTAAATGGAGAGGGTGTGAGTTGGTCAGTCAGGAAACAAGTCTTCATTAAGATTTGGTTTTCAAAAGCCAGCAGTCTATGAAGACCGGTTCCTTCACACCTAGAAATAGGCCACTCAGTGAAATAGGTTTGTGAAATAGGAATGTTGACCTGACTTTGCACCCATCCCATCAATTGTATGCCTTTTCTACGGAAAGGTAACAAAATGGACCTACATTCTACTTGTTAACCTGATGGCACAGTTTAGAGCCGTAGTTGTCAAGCTTGGGCAAATATTTGAATGACTTGGAGAGGCCTTAAAAAATTCCAAAGCTGGAACACACCTGGGACCAATTATATTTAGTATCTCTAGGGGGCGAGGCCTCAACATTGGTATATTGGAAAAGTTCCCCAGGCTATTCTAATGTGTGGGCAAAGTTAAGAGCCACTGATTTTCAATTGTTCTCAAAGTGTGATTCCCGGACCACATCAGTGGTCACCTGGGCATTTGGTACACATGCAAATTCCTGGCCCATCCTCAGACCTACAGAATCAGAGATCAGGGTTTCACAAGCATCCAGGTGATTTTGATTCATGCTCATTTTTTTTTTATTTCAGCATATTTTGGGGGTATAGATGTTTGATTCATGCTCAATTTTGTGAACCACCAAGGCAGAGCATAGACTTTCTATCATTTTATAAACAGACAGCTTGGACTCTTGATCAAGGATGTTTTCCTCTGTACCCTGCTTTTCACCAATGAAGTCACTTATTAAGCCCTCACTCCTTATAACTCTGCGTTTCCTTTAAGGAAAAGCCTCTCATAGTTGCTCTTGCAGCGTTTCCAATAGTACCGAGGCTGCCTGGCTCGCCTCCCTGGGCCGGGTCCTCTTTTATCAGGCAGTGCCCGAGCTGTCATCTGTAATGTCTTCCTGGAACTGCCTGAAAGTGGAAGGATGGACTTACACATCATAAGGGATTTTTTAAAGAGAACTAAAATCCCTTAAATCTCTAATTTCACTTTACCTTCTGGATTCAGTCTTCAATAATATATTCCCATCATTTTGTATACAGTTGATAATTATTTCTTCTTATCCTTCACAACTGAACAAATACATAGCTGACTGCCTAACATCCACTGACCGGCCATTCAAGGTGAAGGATTTAGCCTGGCCACCTGGCCAACTTCTTCTCAATTGTAATAAGCTCCTCTAAACCCACAGTTCTTATCATTAGCTTCCAGTTTCATTTTTTTTTCTCATTATATGCAAAAGATGATAAAATCATGCTACTGTTGCATAAAGTCGGCTATAGTAACATATCTGTGGGCTCAGAGCCAGCATTTCCCATTTGAGAGGTTTGGGTATTTTTCTCCTATCCAAGTCTCCTTCTTTGTGAACTAAAAGTGGCTTAAGGACCTCGATGTATAGTGTTTCCTGAGATAGGCAAATATAAGGAATTGGAATTCCTCCTCCTGGACCTGCCTTTATACCTGTGAGAAGGTGCTGGAGGCTCCTCGGTCTCTTGCTTTCTGGTCCTCAGTGCTGCCTGCTGTCATGCCTGCCTTGTCGTGTGGAAGCTGTTTATAATTCCTTGCTTGTTACGAAATCCTGACCCCAAAACATTCAGACCTTGCATGCTTTCTCTTTCGATATATTCAACAAGAGCAGAGAGGGAGGGCATCAATCCTCCTTTGGAGGCAGTGACCAACAGGAAGCCTCTGGAACTTCTGGGAAAGGGAGGCACCAGTAGAGGCTATTTAGAGAAGTGTATTATAAATATAATATTCCCTATGAATTGGAGCAAGAAGAGGCTGGAGACAGAGGTCAGTTGATCCATTCGCTATTATTTATCAAATACCTACTGCTGCTGCTCAGGATACAACCCTAAACAAGACATGCTTCCTGCTTCAAGGAATTTGCATTCCATGGGGGAGTTGAAGGGCAGGGGGAAGGTGCAACTGGAAGGCAATGTGACAAGGGGCATGCCATGGGGGCGGTGGGACCATCAAACATACAAATCTGGTAGGATGTAGCCAGGTGATGGGACGACAGAGGGTGGTTAGAGACACAGAGAGAGAGAGCATCACGTGCAAAGATCTAGACGTGAACAAATAGGGTCTGTGGGGGGCTGCAGGCCATTCAATAGGGACATAGCTGGAGTGTACAGCGTGAGGCATGAGGGTGGCTCAGGAGCAAACAGAAGATTATATCGCAGACAAATTCAGAGCCATACAGCTGCTTTTGAGCTCCCAATGCCTCTCTCCAGTTGCCTACTTGACTTCTCTATTGGATGTCTACATAAGCATCTCAAACACACACATGCCCCAAACTGAACTTGGTTCTCTTTCCTAAATCTTCTGCACAAATCTCTCCTCCTTGGGAGTGCTCCAGCTAGAAAACTTGGAGTCATTCTTGACATCTCCTTATCCCACCTTCCTCACACTAAGTCCTGCCAAGACAACTTCCAGAAGATCTCCCAAATCCATTCACTTCTCTCTCTGCCTCCTCCAACACTATCACCTGGTATAAGATACTATCCCATGTGCTGGGCTACCACAGAGCCTTCCCCCTGGCCACCTGTGATGTTCCCTGTTCCCTCCAACCTAGTCTTCTCACAACAGCTGGAGGGATCTTTTAAAAACTCAAGTTGTACAGTGCACTCCCTCTGCTAAAAGCTCTTAAATAGTCTCCCATTATGTTTTAGGTATATCTCAATGCCTTAACTTGCCTTAGAAGTCTCTACTGAGCCTCATTTTATACCCACTCCCCGTTTGTCCCCATGTTCCAGCCATACAGTCTTCTTTCAGCTCCTGGGGGATGCATTTCTGTCAACTCCTTGCCTGGCCAACTCATATTCTTCTTTCAGATCTCGACACCTCCCCTTTCCTTGCTCATGACTTCCTCAGGGAGGACTTCCCCAAGTCCCTATGGTAGGCTGCTACCCTAATGAACCACACCTCATGTACTCACAACCTTGGTTAGCCTCTTCCACATTGACCCAGTTGCTGGACTTGTGATGGCTTTAGCGAACTGAATACAAGAGATACGTGACTGTGCCCATTCCTGGACAAGCCCTTAATTGGCCTGGCCACTTCTGCTTCCTCTATCTTGGAATGCTCATTTTGGGGGTACTCCCTTATCCAACCTAATTCCTATAAGCTCAAACCACATGGAAAGACCACATGTTGGAATTTTGGTCAACAGTCTCAGCTGAGCTCCCAGCAGACAGCCAGCATCAACTGCCCCCATATTAGTCTAGTTGAGCCTCCAGATTATTGCAGCTACTATCTACACCATGTGGAACAGAAGAACCACCCAGCTGAGCCCAGGTGACCAACAAAATTGAGAGTGATCATAACTGATTTTTCTTTTAAGCCAACTAAGTTGGGGTGGTTTGACATTAAAATAATAAACAACTGGAAAAATCCCCAATCTAAATTAACTTCTACTTTTATTTTAGCTCAGGGAATCCAATGCCCTTTCTTCATAGCACTTGCCAGACTTTATAGTGGCATAACGATGTATGTATTTGTGTGTTTACTTATTATCTTTCTCTAGCACTAGTCTGCCATCTCCATGACAGATGAGACCATGGCTTCTTACTCACTAGCAAAGTATTTTCAGTGGCACCTACGAGGTGCTTAACTATCTGCTGAATGAAAGAATAAGGGGTTTAGATTATATCCTGAGGACAAGAGGATAAGAGTTTTAAACAGATGAGTGACAAGATAGTTTTATAAGGAGAAAAAAAGTGATATTTTAAAAGCTAGCTTTTAATGAGGAAAGAATACTTCTAAGAGAATTTTCTTATGGTTAAGAAACAACAAGAACATTGGGTTTTGAAAAGAGAAGGCTTTGGGCACAGTCTGGGTAAGAGAGGGTGACACAAAGAGAGGTTAAAAGTGCAATGAAAAATAATGTGAACTGTGGC